TGTGTATAACAAGACATGTTTTTAATATAACTTTTTTAATTAAATAATTTTGTAAGCAAGTAATAATGATAATTTTTATAGTTTAAATCTTATTCAAGCATTAAAAGATTTTGTCTCTATAGTTAGAAATATTATTAATCAACACCTCTAAACAAGCCTAAAAATTGCTTTTCAAATTATTTTAACTTGGTTATCGCTGTTTCTTTGCTAGACTATGAGTTTTATCTAGATTACTGAGATTAAAACAATGGTTGATTGATACAATTTTGAAGTGTTATAAAGCACCTGTACTTTAATTTCTTCTTTCTAATTTTCTGTTTCTTCTAAAAACAATTGCGGAAATTCAATATTTTTTTATACTAGTTGAGAAAACCAAATCATACTTTTTAGTGTCATGTTTAACCAAAGGCTTTATTAGGTTTATTTATTATTTCCAAATTATTATTACTCAAATTTGATCTGTGGGAAGTTTAGTTGAATTTCACTCAACTGCCTGAATTTCAAAAATGAACTTTAATCTAATAATACTGAAACATTACAAGCAACAAACCTTTTCAAGTTTGTTATAAATACTTATGAGTTGTGTTTTAAATAAAATTCAAATAGGATAAAAGTATAACTTAAAATGTTTTAGCTGCTTTTTGTTAAACAGCTAATTTCATAGTCAGACATTTTTGTAAAAACATTTAGCATTGTACAGTTATTCCAATAAGTTTTTTGACTCTAAGTATTTATAAAGTTTATTTATAATTAAAAGTTATTATTAAATTTATATAAAAAAATTTACACAGCAAAATCTTATATTAATCTTGTAAATTGTTTTCACAAATCTTGTAAAAAATTTTAACATGTATATATTATACATTACGACAACTGAGTATTTTCAAAAAATAATTTTTTTAGTTTGCAAAAATCATATTTTGAGTTTTAGTTTCCATTTTATCAATGTTACAAGTCATTTAAAGAATTAAAACATTTTAATAAAATACACTCAATCAGGTCAAAATCCAGTCCCCCTCCCCCTCTCCCTAAAAAAATAGGGAGGCAGAGAGGGGAATAATTTTTTATTTTTTTTTGACTCACTCAAAAAATTTCCTGTAAACGCCCCTGGCAACTACTAGAAAGTGAGTTTAGCGAAGATTGGAAAATAATTAACTGCTTATTAGACGGTTATTTTTAAACCATACCCACACTGGCAAGTGCGCAAGTATTCATATTTTTCAATAAAGAAAAAAATATACCATTTTTGAATTTTTTTTATGGTGGAGATTACTAGCTAGGGGTTATTTTGCTTCCAGTGTTCGCTACCACCACCCCACGCAAACCTTTTAAATTCATCCACGAATTCTTTGTTTACTATATATTTCTGCATCGTAATAACAGTCTGAGAAAAAAAATTCCAAAAGATTTTAAATAATATGTTTTTTTGAGTGATTATCCTAAAGCCTATCTAAAATTTGTAATTAAGCATTAAGAATTTTTGGGCAAAGTTTTTTTTGCAATAGATCATATACCTTTATTTTTAAAGTTACGTCAAATTTTCGTCAGATGATCAGAGTTTTTTTTTAGATACGATTTCCACATTTTCCAGCGATTAGTTTTTTAGATACGATTTCCACATTTTCCAGCGATTAGTTTTTTAGATACGATTTCCACATTTTCCAGCGATTAGTTTTTTAGATACGATTTCCACATTTTCCAGCGATTAGTTTTTTAGATACGATTTTCACATTTTCCAGCGATTAGTTTTTTAGATACGATTTCCACATTTTCCAGCGATTAGTTTTTTAGATACGATTTCCACATTTTCCAGCGATTAGTTTTTTAGATACGATTTCCACATTTTCCAGCGATTAGTTTTTTAGATACGATTTCCACATTTTCCAGCGATTAGTTTTTTAGATACGATTTCCACATTTTCCAGCGATTAGTTTTTTAGATACGATTTCCACATTTTCCAGCGATTAGTTTTTTAGATACGATTTCCACATTTTCCAGCGATTAGTTTTTTAGATACGATTTCCACATTTTCCAGCGATTAGTTTTTTAGATACGATTTCCACATTTTCCAGCGATTAGTTTTTTAGATACGATTTCCACATTTTCCAGCGATTAGTTTTTTAGATACGATTTCCACATTTTCCAGCGATTAGTTTTTTAGATACGATTTCCACATTTTCCAGCGATTAGTTTTTTAGATACGATTTCCACATTTTCCAGCGATTAGTTTTTTAGATACGATTTCCACATTTTCCAGCGATTAGTTTTTTAGATACGATTTCCACATTTTCCAGCGATTAGTTTTTTAAATACGATTTCCACATTTTCCAGCGATTAGTTTTTTAGATACGATTTCCACATTTTCCAGCGATTAGTTTTTTAGATACGATTTCCACATTTTCCAGCGATTAGTTTTTTAAATATGATTTCCACATTTTCCAGCGATTAGTTTTAGTTCTACATGTTTTTTAGTGACCAAATGGCGAAGACTAGATCGCATGGCGAACACTGGGTATTTTACCGTAGCTACTAGTTAATACTCTCACGCTGGGTTCAAACAATTTAAAATACTATTAGTTGCCATTTGTAATATTGCTTAAAAATACCTGTTTCACCAATCTGCTCTGTTGATTGTATATACCCCTAAATATATGCAATATCACTGCAGTGATGTTGCATATATGTAAGGGTAAATACAATAATTAATGGTAAATGTTGCGATATGCTTGCTACAAAACGCAAGCTAATTAAAAAAATTAAGGAAAAAAACCTCCCACATTTAAAAACTTTTATAAGCAACGTATTAATGGTATTGAATGAACAAGTGTCTCAAAAAAAGTATAAGAAAAAATCAAACACCTTTTATTACCAAAGAATAAAGTAAAACAATTATGACCAAGTTTCAAATTTTTAATTGTTACAAAGTGGAAAAATCTAATGCTTCTAAAATTGCATATAATCGTCAAAGAAACTTTTGCGTGAACTTATTAAGAAAAACCAAAAAGTTATTCTACGAAAATCTCTCAATATAAAGTATCACTGGTAATAACTTCTTTTAAAAAACAGTGAAGCCCTGCTTTAAGAAAGTTTCTTAACCAAATAAAAAAATTATATTAGTTGAAAGTGATACCGTCATATCGGATGAAACGACGGTGGCACATATATTTAATAGCCATTTCAACGACTTTGTTGAGGTTGGTGTTTTATGCCCATATGACCAAGTGGAAGACTATATACTTCGATATTAAACACACCTAAGTATACTTGAGATACAAAAATTATATAAAAATTCTATATCTTTTACATTTGAGCAAAAAAAAAAAAAAAAATGACAAAGTAAGAAAATTTATATGCAAATGGCACAACAAAAATCTCACTAAAATTATAAAAGAAAAACATTATTTTACCGATTTTGTTAACAATGACTACAACAATGCCGTTTTAAATAGTTGCTTCCCTAATCAATTAAAAAATGCTTTTTTATGTTTTACCAATACATAAAAAAAGGTTCAAAAACTGATAAAAACAATCACCGACTTGCAAACCTGTTAAAGGTGTATTAATTGTGTATATATGTTGATATTAATAACTTTTTTGAAAACAAATTTTTTAAACACAAATACGGTTTTCGTAAAACCATAGCGCCCAACAATGTTTAATAACTATGACTAAAAAATGGAGAAAATGCCTAGATAAAAAAAGAAATTTTAGGGCTTTGCTTACAGACCTTTCAAAAGCTTTTGGTTGCATTCTGCATGCTTTGCTTATTGTTAAATTAAATGCATATGGCTTCAGCAGAAACGCATTAAAGCTCATTCAAACGTATCTTAGTAACAGAAAACAAAGGCTCAATTTAAGGTCCGTTACTATTTAATATCTTCATAAGTGATCTATTTCTATTTTTACCTAATGTTGATATTGCAGGATACGCTAACAATAACACTCATTTCACTGCAAAAAAATGGTTTAAATTCTGTTGTGAACGACCTTCAAAATACTGGATTTTAATTTTCTTCATGATTTTAAAATACTGGTATGAAAGCTAATCCAGATAAATATCATATTATTATTAGTAAAACAAGCTCTCGCCAAGTTAACACCTGTAATAAAGAAATAGTCTAATCTGATAATAAAAAATTATTGGACTTTGAATCAAAAAGTTAATACGCTCTCCAGACTCGCTTCATTTATGTCTTTGAATCAAAGAAAACTTATACTTAACACTTTATTACATCTTTTTTTCTTATTGTTCATTAGTTTGGTTGTTTTATTGCAGAAAACAAACAAACAGTATACACGAAAGAGAGAATACACGAAAGAGAGAATTCTATATCAAGACTATCAATCTCAGTTCGAAAGAATTATTTGTAAAAAAATGGTTCTGTGTACACCACAAAAGTTTACATGTATTGGTTACGGAAATTTTAAAAGTTAAATTATAACAATATAAAGACTGTGAAGTACGGTCTAGAGCCCCTTTGGTGTTCGGGACCATTAATTTGGAATTCGGTACCAATGAGTTTTAAATCGGCATTTACTCTGAAATATTTAAGTTAAATATCAAAAATTGTATTTCAAAAAACTGATCGTTGTTAAGTAAAAAAGGTAAATTTCTTTTTCTTCTTCTTATGATGATCAATTTATATAAAAATTTGACAAATAAAAATACTCAAATTATGTTTTACAATGTTTGAATTGAAAAAATATAACTTTTTTTTAAACTTTTTTTCATGATTGTTGGACTGCAGTTTGTCGTATCTTATATTTCATTTAAAGTGTAAAAAATTCCAATAAATTTTCAAACATAGCTTATAGTAAGAAAAAAGTTATAAAAATTCATTCGAATTGTTCAAAATGCTTGCGCATGTTTCATATTTACGTTAACGTTTAAAAATTACATCATTATTACATTATTATGAATAAAATATTAATTACTACTAACTAAATAAATAGCTAATAAAAAAATAGTTAGTAAAAAGATACATAAACATAAACCCAAAATAGAATAAATACTAATAATAAATCTTTATGATATTACAATAAGTTGCTGTTGTTAAATAATAAATTATTGGTTGACGACATAAATTGTTGGTTGCTTGATAAAGTGACATTACAACTCTTTTTTACTTTCAAAGATTTTTGGTTTAATCTAAACTTTGATAACGTATACAGAGGCAAGTGAAAAAAATATTACAAAAAAAGTCGAGGGAATAAAAGTTAATTGTGCTGATGAATTAGTACCATCAGGTAGCACTTCAATTACCGGATCGTAAATAATTTCAGATTTAGACAAAGGAAAGCGCATGATGAATAAACTATTGTTATTTATATTATTGTAACGAGGAAATCCAACTGGCATATCAGTCCAATTACCGTTAATGTAAGCCTACAAACATAAAAAGTAATTTAAAACATTTAATTAATGCATAGACACATACATAGATAGATACATAGAAAAATACATATATTTTAATACATACATATATACACAAGAAAGTTTACCATGCTAGAGAAAGTAGCTGTTGACTGATCTATATCGAACGATATTGGAAGATATTTGCTTTTAAGAGACTTTTGTACTTTAACTTTATTGGATAATTTTGTTTCTTTTGTTTTCCTTGTTTTAGATGCCGCTCCTAAGCAATTATAATGCATGATTATAACAGTTAATTATAACAGTACTGTTTAAACAACAACTAACCAAATAAAACACATAAGAGACCTTTCATTTCCAGCTGCAAGTCAAGATAACTCCCAATAGTTCCCGTTTTGCACGCTGCTTTCTGCGTTCCGCAAAAAATCCAATCTCTACCAAAAAAAAAAAAAAAAAACAGAGAAGATATAACAAATTCTCTCACTTTTAAATATAAATGCATATAAACATTATAAATAAAATAAAAATACCTTATAACAATGTTGAACTTCATTGTACCTGGAACTATGTGATACGTTTCTCCCGATTCTACAAGAATGTTTCCAGAGGAGTTGAAAATGATAAACTCCATAGATATTGATGCATTTCCAAAAAACAAAGTGAAATTAAATACAGTAGCAAATAAACCATATTTCAAGGCATTTGAGACTTGAGAAATATTGAAAAACTGATTTGAAAAATTTCTAATAAAATGTCCTTTTTCTTCAATCTAAAAGGAAATTTAATAACTAGAACGGTTTAAGTAAATAAACCTTTAAATATATACGTCTATCGTCTAATATATAGGTTTATCAAGTGAAACAGACTGTAGAAGAAACATAAATAAACATTTTTACTCTCTTTCGTTACAAAGAAAATCGTTATAATAAAAACAAACCGTTAAAAATGTCCTTTGTAATAATTTTTAATATACCTGACGACGCTGATTATTGAAATAAAAACAAAAATATTATTTTGTTATTGAATATATATATATATATATATATATATATATATATATATATATATATATATATATATATATATATATATATATATATATATATATATATATATATATATATATATATATATATATATGTATATATATATATATATATATATATATATATATATATATATATATATATATATATATATATATATATATATATATATATATATATATATATATATATATACATATATTACATAATTTGTTACCTTATTTCCTAAACTGTCAACTTCTTCAACAGAATAAATTTTTATGTCTAACACTTTTCCTCTTTTATTGTTTTTGTCCGTTCGTAAGACGGACGTTAATCCGGATTGTTTTCGAACTTGTACAGAAACGTTATTAAATAATGTATCTATATCCGGCGCCATATTTTCATTCTCATTTGCAACAATTGAATAATAATATTCCGATTTATTGGATGGGAGACTAATTGTGAAAGTAGTGCCTACTGAACTAGAAACCATATTTGGATACTCCATGTTCACATTAAATGAATAACCGCTATTATTACGGTACTAAAATTAGCAGATTAGCTATAAACTTCTGAGTTTATACATAAAGTTAACAGTTTTTTAAGTTTAAAAATTTATAATAAATTGCTTACCATCGAAGAAAATATAAGATCAAGGTTGTCAAATTGAAATCTACTTTTTGTAATGATTGTTGTGAAATACGGAGCTAAAATTATTAAAAATAATTTTTATAAACTATTGCTTGTAAATAAACTATAATAATAAAGAATAAATGAAAAAATGAAATAAAAAAGCAACCTTTGATTTCCAATACGACATTAAAAAAACTTTCAGTTTTATTCTGGTTTTTTATCATGCATGTTGAATTTCGCCCACAAAACTTTAAGCGTCTTATAAAAATTTTAAAATATAAAAGTTAATTTTATTTTAAATAAAGTTTATTATTAAATTAAATATTATAATAAATATTTTTGTATAAAAAACACAACACTCACTTTATAGATATCTCAAATTCAACAGCTCCTTTCTTGATTAAAAAATATGCTCCCGAAACTTTTTTGCGAGTAGCTGATTTATACATGATGCAGTCGACATTAAATGTAATATTCTCTATCATTACTATTGACAGTGACCTGAATACAGCTGCTACACCATACTTTTCAATGACCGACTCATTTGACACATTAAATATAGCATTAGAAATATTAAAGATACTGTATATAGAATTGATCTATAAATAAATAGTAAGAAAGTATCGGAAAAATTAGTAAAACACTAAAGTATTTAACGAATAATTAACATACGAAAGAACGAGTTACATAAAAATAAAATGTTATAAAAATAAAGAATTAATAGTTTAAAGAGATATAAGGTATTAAACAAAATATGATATAAAAATCTACTTGCTTTGTGCTCGTTTTTATAAACTTCGCTCAATTCAATGATTGAAAGCTCCATTATCTCCGAAGTACTCTTACCTCCATTAATTGATTTCAATAGCCGAATTTTTCCCGAATTTTTTATTTCAAAAGAATACTCTTCAACTCCTGTTAAAAAGAGCAACTTGGCTTTGTTTTCTGTTTTAAATACTGACAATGAAGTAACAACGGAGTTTAATGAAATCCAGCATGTCCATAGTAGAGCGAGTGTTACAAAAAGCGAACTAGCCATTTTTTAACGTAAATCCAAAACGATAAAACTTTCGTTTTTTATAGGTTTTACAAAAAGCATTTGTTAAACACATTTTCCGGTTTATTTTAAACTATTCCAAGTTTTATTTGAAACAGATAAAATAAATTTACGAATATTCCGTTTTGCGCTATAAACTTTAACAATTATTAATGTTGATAGCATTTAGATTATAGTCTAAAATGCTAATACACGTCGTTACTTATTTTAATGACTATTTGCGTTGTCAAGTGCGACGTTGGAAATCAAAATTGCAAAAGTTAAAACTAATACGATTTTTTTACCGCCTTTCGTGGCTCAGCTGTACTTTAGCTGACTGTAATTCAGCTGAACTGTACAATAATTCAGCAAAGCATTAGTTAAAATACAATTTATCAAAACGGTGTAAAAATTTTATTTGTTTTTCTGAATACATTTATTTTTCTTTATTTTCAAGTTTTAAAATGATGTCATAAAACTATTATTAATTGATGATATCAATCGATATCGTTGCAATTTTATAATTAGGAAACTCATATAAAATTTATTTCTTGTTTATTCAAAAAGTTTCCTAAAAATTATACATTGTAAAAAAGTTAATAGTTAAAAAAGTATTAAAAGATAAAAAAAAGTCATGATAAATAAATAAAAAAGTTAAACTGATATTTTGCCCTTAATATTTTGTTTTTACTAAACAGTAATATCACAAAACAAGTTATTATTTATTACAACTATTTATTTATTTAATGATAAAGACAAGCAGAGAAATAAGAATGAAATTAATAAGAATTATCGGTTGTAACAAAGTTTTTTACAAAAAAGGTTGTCAAATCAAATACAAATAAAACATCAAGGATATTTACAAATAGTAAGTACTAATATGAAGTAAATAAAAATAAAAAAAGTATAGGGGTCATCTATAAACTTTGTCACGCTCTAGAGGAGAAAGGTAGGGGGTGGGGGGAGGAAAGGGTTTGGCGGTTTTGTGACGACTCATACGGGACTTGTTTCTAAAGTGTTACGGTATTGAGACGAGAGGAGGGGGGGGGGTAGAGGATCAAAACAGGCGATAACCTTTTTCTAAAGTTTTTTATAAAGAGTTATTTATTGTATTCAATTTATTTGTTTATTTATATTTTATTCAATTTTTTTTTTTAATTAAAAAAAAACAGTATTAAAATTTTTTTTTATTTGTATTTGTACATACTTTTCGATATATTACACTGCTATATAGCGTAATATGATGTTTTGTTATTTAACGAAGTTATATTGTCATCGTATTTCTATTATTGAGATTTTTATTTCAAGGCTTAGTGATAAGACCAAATTTGTTTTCTTTTTGCTCCAGCCATGTATTTGTGTGTTTGTATTGTTTATCTTTTGTAACTTTTTAAATTTTATATGCGAAATACATAATTAATGTCGATAATGTCATCCAAAAATGGTATTCTTAAGTAGGAGATCACTACAAACTTAGTAATTAAGATTTGAATTTAGATAAGAAGCGTTGTTTTTGGATCTATTGTATAGTAATATTAGTTATGTTAGATTCCTCTGTGTATAAGGGGTCGTCCATAAATTACGCCACGCAATATTTGACCTCTAACCTCGTCACAAAATAACATTTTAGTAGCAAAACTATGAGTTTTCACAAAACCACTAACCCCCTCCCCCCTTTTAGAGCGTGACGTAATTTATGGACAACCCCTAACCGTACATTTATTTGTTTTTCAAGTGCACTAGGGTTTCTCAAACGGGATCCCGGGATCCCGTTTTCCCGGGATCCCGTTTTCCCGGGATCCCGGGGATAAAAGTGGCAGCGGGATTTCCCGGGATATCACTCTTATATCCCGGAATATAATTTTTTTTAAAATAATTTTACATATGATAACTTTGAACTAATTCGACCAAAAATAAGAAAAATATTATTGCATTTGGTTGTGTTTTATGTGTTCATACCTTATATTAAAACCTAGCACAACAAGAAATGCTATTGAAACTATCTTAAACTAAAAAGAAATGCATTGCAATGCAATGTTTTCTTTTTTCTCATTATTATAAAATATGAGTAAAAAATAAAAAAGATTTCTTGCGACGAAAACAGTAAGTTTAATTTTTAAACTTCTAAATTATTGAAAAGTTAAACTTTTTCTGTATCAAATTATTGAAATATTTAATAATTTTTGTATTTAAAAAACGGCAAACAAACACATAAAAGTCATACGTAAGATAACATACATATGTAAGAAATATTTGTAACTTTACTTTTAGTTGTTCTGCGATTCAATTTAGTTATACTATGTCAATTGTAAATGGATCCAAAGCATGGCAGTATTTTTGTAAAGAAAAATCTGGCGAATCTGCAATTTGCAAAAAGTGCAATGTAAAGATAATGTGCAAAGGATTTTCGACCAGTGGGCTCCTACGTCATTTAAAAAACACACATAAAGATTTGGATCTAAATATGAAGCGTCTACTTGAAGATACTGGTTCGGAAAATAAAATTGTTCAAAAGAAAATAACATTGTTTGTTAAACAGCAGACTATCGAGGAAATTGTGTCAAAGCTAGCAACGGTGGATGGCTTCTCAATAAATGCCATAACAAAAAGTGAATTCATTAGAAAATCATTGTCTGAAAAAGGCATGTTATTACCAAAAAATCCATCCCATGTTATGGGTATGATAAATAAACAATATGAGTTATAATTAAAAGCAACAGCAAAAAAAATTTATACCAGGTTGTACATAGAGGATGCTAGCCTTAGTTCATCAAATAATGAAATAGTTGAAGTGAGTCGTGATAATGAAAGCATGGTTTCTGACCCGTCAATACCTCAACCTGTTGCTCCATATTTATTAGGCAAAAGTATTTTGACGCTTGAACAAAAATTGGATGCGACTATTTGTAATGTCAAACAAGTAGAAAAAGCAGCTCTAGAAAACATTAGCAATTTAAAAAACCTCACAAAAGAAATCAAACTTTTTGAGGCAACTGGAAAGCGTAGCGAAAGTTTAGAAAGAATATACTCAACATTAATGACCATCAAGCCGACATCAATTGAATCAGAAAGGGCTTTTTCTGCCGCGGGTCTATTTATGGGAAAAATTCGTTCACGATTAAGTGACAAATCAATTGATTGTTTATGTTTTTTAAAACAATATTTCATTTTAAATAGTAATATAGATTAGCGTGCTAAGATAAATTTGTGTCAGAAACCGCTTGTTATTATATTAAAAATTATGCCGGGAAATCCCGGGAAATCCCGGGATAAATAAGTTACACACCGGGAATCCCGGGATGCTAAATTTACGGGAAATGAGAAACCCTAAAGTGCACTATAACCTATATCAATATAGTAAATGAAAAGCGTTATTAAAGTTTACAAAGCAGAGCAGTATTTCAATAAAGAATGCTATAAAAACAAAACTAAAACAATATTTTCTACAAAAAACATTTTTAGTGCCTAATTACATTATACAACGAGAAAGTATTCAATGCAAAAAAAAAAAAAAAAAAAAGAAAAAAAAAGAGAAACAAAAAAAAAATTATATATATATTTATAGTGGCAATAATTGTCAACTAGTATAGAAATAATCTAAATATATATTTTTAAAAAAGAACTAACATTTTGAATATATTTATATGTATATATATATAGAAGCTAATATTAAGATTTTTTATAAGGATTATTTATGATATATTGAAAAAGATTTAGTCAACAAATAAAATTAGCTAATTTTAAGTTTAAAAAAATTATATAATTTGAAAATAAAAAAGCAATGAGTATTTTACGACTAAATTGCATAATTTATGTTGCCAAAAAAGTTTTAGTTTTTTATACAAAATAAAATCTCCGCTTTAAATTTAGAGCTTTCCATTAAACACCAGTAAAAGGCAATTAAGCCAATGAACAATGGCCATTTGGAGACTTGAAAAATAAATACTTTAAAAACATTGGCCAAGAACTCCATGTATGTATGCGTGTGTATATATGTAAATAGTGAATTAGAACGTTCTTCAGATTTTTCTTTTATAATTTCGAAAAAAATTCAAAATTTTATTTTTATTAGTTGTATTTATATTTTAGAGTTAATTTCTCCAGAGAATAGTTTGAGTAACACTAGAGTTAAAAAGATCAATGAACAAATTTGTTCAATCGTCGTTATGAGGAGATTTGCGATTTCCTTTAAAAAATTTAAACGATTTACGACTTTTTTCCTGAGCGCGAAGTTGTTCAACTTTGGTCTTTGCTGAATTTGATTCTTTACTAATAGCAATGGAAGTTTCTTCGTCAGAACATATCGAAGCGTTTGAAGTTGCACGAAGCCTATCTTTTGGCTCAAGAGTGGGACTAAAATTGCTCATCGAACTTGAATCACTAGCAGAACTAAGAACGGAAGGATTCCGACATACAAGACCGTTAAGTG